AGCATAATTTGATTGGATCATTGGATTTCTAATAATCTCCAACTAAACCTTTAAAACTGAATCCCAATATTTAAAAATCAAAGCTTTTTTTTTTTTTTTTTTTAATGGAAAAAAAACAATTTGATTGGATTTCGTGCTGGCGCCAAATTAGGTAGTGCGTGGTGCGCGAACGCGTGAAAATTGGGGGAATAATAAAATTACCCAATCATGGTCAATTTGAGAGAGGATTCAACGGAATCTGAGAGAGAAGTAGAGATTCATCGGCGAGCTTCGAGCCGACTTTAGGGTATAGAAGCTTTTGCCGTTTGGGGAGCACGTTTGTTGCCTCGCAAATCCGCCGCTTGAGTTCCCCCACCGTATCGTCGCCGCACACTCTAACGGTGTACTCTTTTCCGCTCCACTTCACCGTTAAAGTCAGCTCCTCCTCCGTCAACGGAGAAACGGCTAGCACGGCGGCCGACGACGACGATTCATCCGCCATTCAGAAAAAATAAAAGCGGCTTGAGCAGCGGGGGGTCGTTTTGGAGTATTTATGTAATTATAAAAATAAAACCAGGGGTAATTCTGTTCAAATGAAAATAGAGGAGTAATTTATATATATATAATTTATTATTTTAATTAGGAAAAATTATTTCAACTCTTTCTCAAATAAACTCACTCGTTCCACGTGTATTATCAGCAAAGCAATTATAATATTTAGGGGTTTTTATGCACAAGTCCCCAACTAAGCATGTTCATTATTCTAGGTTCAGGGGACATATCTCTTTGACCAATAAGTCAATTCCTTCATTTATCTTATATATAAAAGAAAGAAACGCTAGGGCAACTCATGAGTTGATCAACAAACCCTAATGTCATATTTGTAATTTTTTCTTATATATAAAAGAACGAAACGCTAGGGCAACCCTAAGAAATCCTAATGTCATATTTGTAATTTTTTTTTTATTATTTTCGTTTTTTATCAAATTTATCTCCTAAATATTATTTTAGATTTTTATCTACAAAATATTATTTTTGATTTGTATCAGATGTTTATCTCCCAAATATTATATTCGATTTTTATCAAATTTTTATCTCATAAATATTATTTTAAATATTATTTTTGATTTGTATCAATTTGTTATCTCTTAAACATTATTTTAATTATTATTTTCGAATTTTATCAAATTTATATCTCCTAAATATAGTTTAAATATTATTTTGATTTTTAGCAGATTTTTATACTTTAAATATTATTTTCGATTTTTATCAAATCTTTTTCTCCTAAATATTATTTTAAATATTATTTTCGAATTTTATCAAATTTATATCTCCTAAATATTATTTTAAATATTGTTTTCGAGTTTTATAAAAAAATTATCTCCTAAATATTATTTTTCAATTTTTATCAAAGTTTTGTCTCATAAATATTATTTTCGATTTTGATCAAATTTTTATCTCCTAAATATTATTTTAACTAATATTTTTTATTTTTAACATATTTTTGTCTCCTAAATATTATTTTAATTATTATTTTCGTATTTTATCAACTTTTATCTCATTAACATTATTTTAAATATTATTTTCGATTTTTATCAAATTTTTATCTCTTGAATAGTAATTTAAATATTATTTTCGATTTTTATCAAATTTTTATTTTCGATTTTCATCAAATTTTTATCTCCTAAATATTATTTTCGATTTTTATCTCCTTAATATTATTTTCAATTTTTTTAAATTTTTTATGCCTGAACTTGCCAAATCACTCCTATTTTCAGCCATAGATATCTCTAATGCACAAACAATTAAATCTCCTAAATATTATTTTATCTCCTAATTTTCAGCCATAAACATCTGAACACTAAATATTATTTTTTGATGATAAAATACTAATTATCGTATTCCCAAAGATGGACGATTCCCAAAGACTTCCCTTAAGATTCTTAACACTTTTAACTTCTCTCTTCTACTTCAACACGTTTGTGTTTGCTCTTCTTATTTATATCCACCTCGATCTACAACATTTGAATTTTATTTCTTCATCCTACCCAAGGCTTCTTCTTTTGGTAACCCGACTTTAGAATTTTTTTTCTTATTTTCTTCTTCATCCTATTGAGTGTGTGGTAATTAGTTTGCATCTTTTACCATCATGGCTTATAGGTAATTTATTTTTGTTAAATTATGTGTTTCATTAATTTATACCAAAGATTTCAAATTTTGTGTATAACAATTATTTCCTTTTTGATGTTATTGGACATGTTATAGAAAGAGATGATTGGAGAGAACTAAGCAAAAATGGGCGGAACCACAAGCTATTGGAAGTCGGCCTTCAAGACATATTGTTTGTATGGATATTTAATTTATTGTTTATATTTATTTTTGTTTCTAAAATTTCCAATATAATTGTTAATTCCAGTGACAAAACAGGACCAAAACGAGGCAGTGAAGAAGGGCTTAATTACGATGCAAGATGTATAGATGGCCTTTTACGTTGTCGATAGTTTAGTTTTGATTAGGTTAAGTAAGTTATTAAATCTAATTACTTTTAAACTCAACATGAAATACATAGTTGATGATTTTGTTTTTGGTTCAATTTTCAATCTAATGGTATTAGTTGATTCAATTTATTTAGAAAATTATTCAACAGTAAAATTATTTGTTTTTTTTTTTTTTTTTTTTTTTTTTTGGGGGGGGAGTATACTTAGTAATGTTCCACTAATGAATTATTAATGAATGATTATTATAACAATATTTTGATCATAGGATACATCAAACGTTTGTTTATATTTTTACAATATCAAAACAATGTAATTTGTTGCCCCGTGCATCGCACGGGGACAATTACTAGTTATAATAACTAAAGGAAACATTCATGTATATCTCAATATTACCCTATCATTTATACACAATTCTTAATTATAACCCCAATTTATCAATTTTGTCCGCATAAATCCAATTTCGACCACAAAAATTTAATTTTGACTTTTTTTGGAGCATAATTTAATATGCTCCAATTTTATTCTTAACTTAATTTAATCTCAATTTGACCCCAAATTTCACAAATTATTCAATTTTGACCCAAAACTTTTTTATTTCAAAAAAAAAAAAATCAAATTTTTTTTTTGCCACCGGATTCAGGAGTTGACCGGCGGTCAACGCCGGTCTCCGGCGTTGACTTTTCAAACTTTTTTATTATTTTTGATTTGTTGACAAGTCAACGTAATTATATTACTGTCGTTGACAGTAAAATAACTGTAAACACAATAATATTACTATCAACAACATCAATATTATTATTTTTTTGGGGGTTTTGGTTTGTTTGAATTATTCTCGGAGTAACGTAATAATATTACTGTCTATTATTGTAATATTACTGTAAACACAATAATATTACTGTGGTTGACGGTAATATTACTGTTGTTATAGTAATATTGCTGTCAACCACATCAATATTATTATTTTGTTTGGATTTTTTTTTTGTTTGAGTTATTCACGGAGTAACGTAATAATATTACTGTGGTTGACAGTAATATTACTGTTGTTATAGTAATATTACTGTCACTTACTGTAATATTAATTCTTTTGGTTTTTTATTATTATGTTTACATTTGTTGAACGGTCAACATAGTAATGTTACTTTATTACACAATAGTAATGAGTTTTGTTGTTTTAATATTAATGTGCTAGAGACTAATATAGCAATATTACTGTGTTAATTTATAGTTTAGTTAATTTTACTGTGTTTAACAGTAATATAGTTAATATTACTTTACTGTCAATCACAACAATATTTCTGTTTAAACGGAAAAAAAAAAAGTTATAGAAAAAAAAAGAAGAAAAAAAAAATTCAAAAAAGTCAACGCCGGAATCCGGCGAAAAAATCCGGAAGAAAGAGAAAAAAAAAAGTTGAAATGTCAACGCCGGAATCTGGCGGAAAAAAAAAGTTTTTGAAAAAAAAAAACTTTTTTGAAAAAAAAAATTTGGGTCAAAATTGAATAATTTGTGAAATTTGGGGTCAAATTGAAGTTAAATTAAGTTAAGGATGAAATTTGAGCATATTAAAGTATGAGGGGTTATTTTAGTCCTTTACAAAAATCTGGACCATGTGTGGACTTATTGGTAAAAGAGATTTTTATCTGGATCTCTTTATGAATAAGTACCCATTGATGGGCTTATTTGTAATATGCCCTAATATTTAGGGCAAATTACGGCCAATACCCAGAGGTAAGGTCAAATTACGAAATAATCGCTCTTGTTTGGATAATTACAGCCGCCCCTGCTTTTAATTATTTTCAATAAAATTTACGTAATTCGGTTATTTACCGAACCAAATCGTATATTCGGTTCGGTAAACGGTATGAAATGTTGGCGTACCGAATTTTCGGTTCGGTATTTTAACATCCATGAATTTACCTTTTGAGGAGTATTTTCGTAAAATAATACATAGTTGAGGGGTGACTGTAATTATCCAAATATGAGTGGTTTTTTTATAATTTGACCTTAATTCAAGGGTTGTCGTAATTTGCCCTAGTATTTATTACAAAATTAACTCCTTCATGATGTTAAACGCTAATCACCCTAATTTCACTAATTCAATAATTTTAACTCCTAACCCAATTTTAAATTATCATTGTCGATCAGCCGACACATCCACTCACACAACAATATTATTATGTCGGCGGTTATATGCAAGTCCATTTTTTTATTAGTTCAAGACCTCCAACATAAAAATACTAATTTACCCTTAATGAAAATTAAAATCAAATAAAAAACACTATTATTATTATTATTATTATTATTATTATTATTATTATTATTATTATTATTATTATTATTATTATTATTATTAATTAATTAATTAATTAATTAACTAAACTATATATATAAGTTAAAACTAAATAAATATTGGCCTTTTGTTGGGCCCAATTGAATCATTAATAATCAGCCCATTTAATCATCTCCATCAGAAGTGGCCCAACATCATTACCGAGTCTTGATCCTTGATTTCCACCGAGTGATCCAAGCGATTCATTTCGAGGTTACACCTCTCCTTATCTCACAATCCCAAATTTGATATGTGATATCTCTTTATCTTATCTGTTCGTACCACCACGTTGAATGTCTCTTGACATTTTTTCGTCGATACAACTGTTTGACCATGACGATGGCCTCTCATCTCCTGCTCTCTTACTTAGAGACAACATAAATTTTCCATTTATATATCAAACGTCTCGTGAGAGAAAGGAAAATAGACATTTTCCGTTGATGCTATTTGGATTTCTCATTATGATTTTTTTGTTATAAACCGTGTGAGGTAGTTAAAACATATGTTACTATTTTATGACGAGGATTTTCCTGACAGACGTAGACACCTTCACTAAAGTTTATTTGTGACAAATTTTCATCAATTTTGTAATAAAATTGGTTGCATTAAAAGTTTGTTTTTGGTAGTGACGATGAACTGTATTCACCGGTCAACCCAACAAAAAATTTGAAATAATAATAGGCGGCGGTTAT